CAATGTCTGGAGTATTTAACTCCATCTTTTAGTCTTTTCACAAATGGTGTGGTGATTTTCTCACCAGGCAGCAGTGAGTTGCCAATCAAGGGGGGATTTTTGCTTGTAAATCCCAACTCGACTCATTAATATTCATCTTCCTATCTTACCAAACTCTCCAAACAATCTAGATGTCGAAACAAAAACAAGATGTGGAAACCAGAGCGGGTACTCGGCAGTTTTAGCTCACCACTTGTTCTAAAATATCTCCATTACCAAAGTGCAGATTCAAAGGCACCCTCATCCATGGACATTGGCATCAGGATTTGCCAACCTATTGTGACTATCTTTGGCAGCCATTGTTGTGGGAATAAGACTCGACAAGATAGTCTTTGGCGCTGGGGGCTATAGGCTGGGTGGAAGTGGGGATGAAGGTAATGAAGGGGGTCTACAATTGGCGGGGGATTGGAATATGTTAAAGGATGGATGAGAAGGAGGTCTTGTAGAAGGCGGTATCGACCCACTGATGCTAGGGCTTTTAAAGGGAAAGAACTTTGCTCACAGTCCTGCTGTGCCCCTTTTCACTGACTATTCTAAAACACCACCAACCACCCCATCCCATGTGTTGCGGTTGCCAGCCACAGGCATTGTGTAACAACTCAGTGACAACTACACTTTGGGAGCTGTGAAAGCTGGAGGGCCAAAGGTGTCAGCACCATCCATAACCATGTATAGGCATTGTTCCTCTGGCTTCCAGATGACATAGCAGGCTCTTAGCACAGACCTCCATCCATGGAACCTTGTCTGTGGCCATGAAGTGATGCCTGATGCTGTAACATTCAGTCTTTAAACCACCCCCTCAACCAGGTCCTCCAGGGCTCTGTTGAAGAATCAGAGGGCCATCATCCCATTTTCACAATTTCTCCTTGAGCAAGCAGGGCAATTTCAGAATGCCAGTGCTCGTTCGGGTGCACTGAGGCACTTTAAAGATGGCATGGGCATAATGGGTGCAGTTTTTTGGTAAATATCAGCTGAGGGGTGAGTTGTTCTGGGAACGGCATGTGGTAAGATGGGGCTGGAATTGGACATGAGGGATACCATGGAGGATGAGGTAGATAGTTAATAAGGCAAATTTGGTAAGATACGGTGCAAACGTCTACTAGGCCCTTGTGGCAGAAATCCCTCCAAAAAAAAATACCCAACTTGAGCTTAGACAAAAAAAAAATTCAGCCTTAAGACTCCTTAACTGTTTTTTGAGAAAGAAGGAAACAGCCAGTTCTGGAATCTCTTCCTCTATATCTCAGGTTTTATAATGTATTTCTTATTTTTGTAAACAAGAGTTTGTAACATGGGTGATTGATACTATCCTTGTTTCAAAAGAGGTGCAGTATACCTCTTTTTAAGAGTTGTATATGAGTGGATCTCTGATGACAGTAGATAGAGTGGATTGGGTTTTCAGTCCTATCATGGATCTCCTCTAATCTGGTCTCCTGCAGATCATTGGAATGCTGAGCCACTAGCTGATTCCAGAGCAATTAGGATTAGAAAGTGATGCACTATCGCAGGGTGACAAGCGTTTCCACTCTTAACATCTCCTTAGCTACTGGCTGGCCTGGATCCACAAAACCAGCTGGAGAGGGCAGCCAGCAACTTATTGAGGCTTTCTAACAGCCTCAGCCAGGCTTGTGCTCCTAGACTGGGGTTGACAGCCATGTGATTTGTATCTGATCTGCAGCAGCCTTCACTGAAGGCATTGAGGATGAATCTTACAGGAACTGCGGAATTATGAAATCTTTTTCTCTTGCTGAAGTTGTTGACCCTGCAATGCAATATTGAGTGACATGAATAACAGTGATGGTCTTTGGGCAGATATAGTTCATTGGTGTGTGATAGGACTGGTATAAATGTTGAGTCTCAACAGCAGGCCATGTCCAGATATGATTCAACCAATCATTGTCAAGGAATTCTGATTCAGAATTGCATTCTCGACCTCAGCTTGGTGGAGGTCCTTGTACAAGAGTGGCCAAATGTTGTGGAACAATGTCAGTAATTAGAAAGAATTCTGATGGACAGAATGCTTTTGCACTTGGAGAGACATGGAGGAAGTAACCAGAGGCATTAATAAGGATAATGCATGATATATGGTCTTAATCGACTGTAGCAAAGCTTTTGATAGGATCCTTAATGGTACATGGTCAAGAATGTAAGAGTCCATAATAGGATCCAAGGCAAAGTATCTTGCTGGGTCCAAATTTGCTGGTTTTCAGGAAGCAGAGGGTGATGGTACAGTGAAATTTTTGTGACTGGAAGTTTGTTTCCAGTGGTGTTTCATGAAGCCAGGTGTTGGCCTTGCTGTTTGTAGCTTACATTAATAATTTGGACTATGGCGGCAGCATTTGGACATAGTAGTGACAAACGGAATTCAAACTGTAATGGGTAACTCACTTAGGGAGAGATAACAAGGTAAGGGATTGAGAGATTTTGTGGGGAGGCACTGATGTAGTGGTAACATCACTGGACTAGTAATCCAGAATCCCAACTTGATGTCCTACATAATTAGGTTCAAAACCCACCACGGCAGATGGTGAAATTTGATTTCAATAAAAAATATGGAATAAAAATGTTCCTAATAGTAACTATGTAACTACTGCTGGACGGCATATTAAAAACCCATGTGGTTCACTAAAGCTGTATGAGGAAGGAAATTTGCTGGCCTTATGTGGTCTGGTCTCCATGTGATTCCACAGCAATGTGGTTGACTCTCAATTGCCCTCTGCGCAATTAGTGATTGGCAAAAAATGCTGGTCTAGCTAGTGAAGCCCTGGTTAGGCCACAGAACTGGGTGCAGTTTGATTATTTATACTGGATGATTGGGATTGCACTAGAGAGGGTGCAAAGGAAAAGGTTGCTGTCTGAGCTAAATGCAAAGATTAAATATGGTTGGGTTGTTTTCCTTGAAGCAGTGAATGGTGAGAGATAAACTGATAAATTATGAGATGTGTAAGATGATTGTGTGGCCCAGACTCCAGGGCTATGTGCGAAGAGCTGGAAAATGGGATTACTGTAGTCAAATCTATGTTGACTGGAGGAGACATGATGGGCTCAACTGCCTTCTCCTTTGCTGTCTACTTCTATGAGTCATGCTGTATGTATCATCATCTTATTCCGGAATACACTGGACAAACTTCAGTCTGCAAATCAACACTTGATGGGTCCAATGGTCTGTGCAGTTAGGATTACATATCTGATATGTTTATCTGATGGTACCAGTCATTGTTCATTCACTGAGTGTGGGTTTCGGAGAAAGGTCAAGGGTGCAGGATATGTCCAGGGTGTTGGCATAGGTGGGGGTTGTGCAAGATGAAGGCATACTGTAAATGCCTGATCATACATCAGTTGCTCAGTAATGGAGTGAAAGCATTTGTGATTAATTAACGCAGTGAGCCTGTCTGAAGGATTGCACAGAGAGATGTGTGTGCAGTTCATGAGATTCTACATATGAGAATCTTGGCATTTGGGCAAACCCCAGAGGTCTATCTTGCTGTTTTTGGTTGTTTGGGAAGTATGATTAAATTGTTTGTTTTGGTAAACGGAACATTGACTACCTGTGTAATGTGAGCATCAATTATAGATTCACTGATATTACTGGACCATAGGACTTAGGAGAAAGAGCAGACCATTTGGCCCTTCATGCCTGCTGTTATTCTCTATTGCAGACTGGCAAGAAAATAGAGACAAAGAGATTCAGGGCTGCAGTGACATTGATTGCAACAGGCAATGAGTTGCAAGCAACACAACTGTGTAAAAGATGGAAAAAGAGCTGTATGCTTTTGCTTCACTCTTCAAAGATTCACTAATATACTGTCTTTTTGTGAACCTAATATGTCAATAATCTAGGAGAGTGCATCCAGAGCTAACCATTGCCGGTTTATTCTCCCTGGATATTTGCGTAAAACATATCTTTGGTGAGCAATTAACATATCTTTCTGTCACTTAAATAATAGTGATATTCAGCTATTTAACTGACACCAGTTTTAAAACTCTTCTTGAAAGAAGTAAACAGGTAACCCACTTTCTTAACTTATTTTAAATGCTTTTCTTTGCAGGTCATTCACATAATATAGACACATACATCTCAGAAAGGGAAGACATTCTAATCTTCTATCACCCAATTGTCTTTTAAAGGACCATATTTTATTTATTTGAGAAACACAATGGATTAGTAGATATTTTAAAATGGATCTTCTACAAAATAAAACAAATCTAGCTGGGTTCCATGAGCTTGGTGAATATTTAAGTGTATGGGGAGAGGCGAGGGAATGAAAGGGAAAGGTGCGGTTTCAGTTCTGTTACAAGTTAGTCTTTGCTCAAATGTCCTAGGAAATTACTGCACTCTAGTATCGTATAAACTGTAGCTTCTGAGAGAAATTAAAAAGTCACCAATAAGTCATCATGCACCCCAGGAACAGGAAGATTTTGTATTTCATCACATGGATTAGCTCAATTGAAGTTCAAATGCAAATAATTCTGTTGTAACGTGTATTTCATTAATCCGAATTGGTTGTTACGCGATTGATGAATAGTGGACAGTGTTTAGATAACGTGAACTTTCCACTGTACAGTATAGCGATTTTCTGCAGCGATATCCCTATAACGCGTTTTTCTATAGCGTGAACTCACACAAGAACGCAACTATTACGTTATAGGAGAACTACCTGTAAACATGAAGGTATATTTAGTCCTTACATTTAACTCTTTACCAGTAGTTATTACCTCATTTTGAATCGAATAATCTCAGCAATTTCAGCTGGCAACAGAAAATATGCCCCGATACGTGAAATACCTATTTTTTAAATGTATTTTTTTACTGCTGTTTGGTTCCACATACAAAATAGGGCAACATTTTCTCAGCATCTGCGTCCAGCCTTTAGTGATTGTCAGAAAATCCACTAATCTGTTGAAATTCCAGCTTCCAAAAAATAGTAATTGATAGTCAGCAATTGGTTATATCTGAGAGTGTGTGAGTATTCCTTAAATAAATCATTTTATTCTTTTAAAAATCTATATACAAAGCAATTATATTATATTACATTAGGCATTGCATTAAAGTAATTCCTTTTCACTTTGGTAACGTGTATGGATTCTGAAAATGGATGAGATTTCATAGATATTTTAACTCGCGGTTAACTGTATTCTTTTACAATACTGGCCATTAATTCCTCTTCAAAGTAATCATAGAGAATTGGAGTTGAGTTTTGAGATGTGTTCTTTCCATTGATGTGGAATCTGAAAGACAAAAGAGAGATCTCATTTCCTCAATGTGTTTCTGGATGGCCAGCAGAGGGCATTTTTAAGCGATTCAGTTTCAGGAAGTGAAGAAAGTGGATCAGAGATAGTAGGAACTGCAGATGCTGGAAAATCTGAGATAACAAGGTGTAGGTGGAATTCTGGATGCCACTAAGTCCAGGATTTTTGGTTGGAGAGGAATCGAGGATGCTAGAGCTTTAGGAAATTTGAGGTGGGGCTTCAGGTTTGAGGGGCTAGGAGTACCAACTTGGATGGATGCAAAGGGGACCCTGAAAAAAAGTTTACACTCACCTTTCCTTCCCATCTTTTACCTCAGGTTGGAAAGTCACAGGCTGGCTACTGTCTGCCCCTGCCTACCATATTATGGTAGCGGAGGTGGAACTATGGCCTTTTGTAGCCTGGAACTGGCAACCTAAGATTCTCAACAGGCTTAAGGGTGATTGGGCCAGCTGTTATCCTATCCCCCCACCATAATTTGGGGGAACAGTTCAGGGTGGGTGTGTTGCTGGTGGATAAACTACCGATTTGATTTAAAGTGCCACCCTACCTTCAAATATGCCAATGGGAAGCTGAAAAACATCCCCATCAATTTGCGTTGAATGCGACTCTTCTTCAGAAAGGAAGAAAGGTCATATTTGACAAAAAAACTCGAGTCCTCTCTCTGCAGATGCTGCCAAACCTGCTGAGTTTTTTAAGCACTTTTTATTTGGTTTAAAATGAAGATCATAGAATCCCTACAGTGTGGAAACAGGCCCTTTGGCCCAACAAGTCCACACCAACCCTCACAGCATCCCACCCAGACCCATCCCCCAATAACCCACCTACTCTACACAACCCTGAACACTACGGGCAATTTAGCATGGCCAATTCACCTAACCTGCACATCTTTGGACTGTGGGAGGAAACCGGAGTACCTGGAGGAAACCCACACAGACACGGGGAGAACATGTAAACTCCACACAGACAGTCACCGGAGGTTGGAATCAAACCCGGGTCCCTGGCGCTGTGAGCCAGCAGTGCTAACCACTGAGCCACCGTGCCGTCCAATGACGCCTTAAATGGGCCAACATTTAATTTATTGTCCAACTCCCTCGTGGGTAGGTTACACACCTCGCAAATTTGGTAGCCATAGTTCTCATAACCCCAGAGAACTAGGATTGGGGACTGGGGATTCATGTTTGAATTTCAAAACTCCAGGCTGATATTCTTAGGGGTGTGAGATTGAATCCCACCCAGATGAAATTTTGATTGAGTAAAATAAAATCTGAAATAAAAATGCTCGCAGAATGGCAATCGTGTAACAATGTTGATTATCGTAAAAATACATCCGGCTCACTAATGCCCGATAGGAAAGGAAATCTGCCTCCCTTACATGGCTTGGCTGACAACTGTCTCCAGATCCACAGCAATGTAGATGATATTTAATTGTCCTCTAGGAATTAAGGATGGGCAATAAATGCTGCAATAGACAGTGGCAGCTACATCCCATGAATGAATAAATTAAAAATAAAATTCTTGGGGTGTAGGAACACCCACAGTGCTGTTAGAGAGTTCCAGGATTTGGACTCAGTTGTAGTTAAGTAACAGTGATATAGTTTCAATTCAATATGGTATAGTTATACTGAACAGCTTGGCTGTAAGGAAGGGCTCATTCTGGGGTAGAGCTCTTCAGAACTATGGCAAGAATGTGATCAGGGAAACTCTTCAGTACCAGTTGTTTCCTGTGCCGTGCAGGTGAGGAAATTATAGATGCATTAACTACAAATTTTCCAAACCTGTTTAAGTTCAGGAACTATACATTTTGGTTGAAATAGTGCACTCTTATTTAAGAAGAAAGGAAGGAAATATAACAGGTAAATACAGAGCTGTCAATTTTACATCAATTGTGTTACTGCATCAATTACTAGAGGTAGAACGGATGAGTGTTTGGTTAGGATTTTAGTTGATCAAAGATAGTCAACAGGATTTGTGAAGAATAGGTCTGACTAACTTAATTTCTGAGGAGGTTACACTGAGAGTTAGGCAAGTGTCTCTCAATGAAGGAGTTTGTTAATTTTCTACATTGGAGACTTTAAGAATATGTATGATTGCAGGACTTGGGAGTAATCTTGTAAATTGGCCTAATGATTGGATGGGAGCTAGGAGTCTGAAAACAGAAATAAAACCTCATTCTGATTGAGATGAAAATGTAGTGTTTGCCAAGTATAGGGGCCTCAACATTTTACCACATAGACGCATTAATGTCCATGGCACAGAAGGGGCCCTTGCGTTCATTCTGTTCAACCAAGATCTGACTCAGAACAAAGAACAGTATAGCACAGGAACCAGGCCCTTCAGCCCAACAAAACTGAACTGACACATGATGCCTTTCTAAAAACCTTTTACCTCTATGCTATCTGTATCCCTCTATTCCTTGCCTGTTCATGTATCTGTCAAGATGGCTCTTAAACATTGCTGTTGCTATTGACTACACAGATTTATTTTTTAGCATTTGGCCTATAGTCCTGGGGTCTATGGCAACACAAGCTTAAATACTGTTTAACTGTTATGACACAGTGACCAGGCTCCCACCGCCTTCTGGGTGAAAAATATTCTCCTCAGCTCTTCTCCTTAAAGTCCCTTCCTATCCACTCTGTCTATGCCCCTCATAATATTTTATGCTTCTGTCAGGGCCCCTTTTGTCATTTGCTGCTGTGGGGAAAGCAATCCCAGCCTATCCAACCTTTCCACATAGCTCAGATCGTCCTGCCCAGGAAGCATTCTAACAAACTCAGCAGGTCTGGCAGCATCTATGGAGGGAAAGATACAGAGTTAATCTTTCAAGCACAAAATAACTCTTCTTCAGTTCTGAAGAATCATACCAGACTTGAAATGTTGTGTCTGTTTCTCTCCCCACAAAATCTGCCAGACTCGCTGAATTGCTCCAGCATTCTCTGTGTTTGCTTCAGATTTCCAGTATCTGTAGTATTTCATCTTTATTCCAGTGTCCAAGTAAATCTCCCCTGCAGTGTCTCTAGTGCAATCATATTCTTCCTGCAATGTGATGACCAGAATTGCATGTAGACCACATCAAATATACTACCTTCATCAATGCTCCCAATTACCTTCTCAAAATTTTTGGTCAAATTTGTCAAACACCAACTTCCCTTAACAAATCCATGCTGATTACTCTCCAAGTGCAATATATTTTATTCCTCAGAATTTTTTCCAATAATGGCCCCACTGCAAAGATTAAACTGACCGGATTATAAATTTCTGGTTGAGCTGTTGCTCCTTTCTTTGGTAACAGGACCACATTACCAGTCCTCTGGTACCTCATCTATGGCCAGAGAAGCTTTGAAAATTTCTGCCAGGGTCCCTGATATCCTCTTCCTTGATTCCCTCGACAGCTTGGGATGCATCGCATCTCGTCCTGCCGATTTATCTACTTTTAAAGTCACAAAACCTACCACTACCTCGTCTTTCTATGTTAATTTCTTCTAATATTTCACAGTCCACCATTCTAATGTCTACCCTGCATTGTCATTTCCATTGTGAAGATTGACACAAATTAGTCATTGTTCCAATGATGCAAGTGTCTCTATGTGAGTAATGTTACTTTGTGAAGCACCTCACAAAACATGCAATCTTATTTTAATTGCGAAATATACAAACTTTCACATGTTAGATTTCCCTTTGGGAATTGCTACTTTCAGCTTATTATTCAGTATTGTATTAATACAGCATAATCCACTATTAGAGATTTAACACAATTCAAATCACAAGAAGATACAGAAGTGTATCCTATCTTTATGTGAAGTGATTTCCATCTCCTGCTGGTAACTGTTTGCTGTATCTTGAAAAATTACTGAAAAAACAGCTAAATTTCAGCCAATGTGTTAAAGGTCTGGTAATTAGTTTATTTGCAGTTCTGTAGCATTAACTGCAGCCAAGCAGACAACGATCTCAAGGTTTTTTTTCCCTGAAGTGACTTTTAAAAAAATGTTTGTATCTTGAGATCTGTGGTGCTAAAATATTCTTTTAATGGTCATTATTGTACTTACTATTAATAGTGATGGTTAATGATGTACTTGTTCTTACCACTGACTAAGATAATCAATTTGAAGAGAACCCTATGGATAAGAGACTATTGAATAAGAAGATAGTTAATGTTCCAAGATCCCACACAAGTGTAATAAACAGGCTGTTCAACTAGGGCTTACCTGTTGGCCAAGTTGTTATTTTCTAGGTCTTGTGTGCTTATCGTAACTAAATCCTGGAATATTAAAGAAAAATTGAATATAAATCTGATGAAGCTTCTAAGAGTCCATTTGATTCACACAACAATAACTTACATTTACATATCTCCTTTAACATAGCAAAAGCATCCCAATATGATTCAAAGAGACATAAAGATAAAATGAACACTAAGCCTAAGGAGGAAGAGTGAACCAAGATTTGATCAAAGTTGTGAGTTTTAAGTCGCATCTTAAGGGAGGAGAGGGAGGAATCGTTTTGGTCAGGCTAAAGCCCTTTTTGCCTTTTGGATGTAAAAGATTGTTTGATGCCAGTTGAAAAAAAGCAGTGAAATTTCCTAGATTCTGGGCAACATTCCTTTCTTAACCAGCATCATTAATATGGGTTTCCACTTCCATTTTCAGTTCCTCATTTATTCTATTCCTGAGATTGTTCTGAACACGAATTGGCTGCTGTTTGCCTACAGTGACTACATTTCAGTTACCACATTAATTTAGCATCTTTAGAAATTCCCAGGAGCATTCACAAACAAAATGTGACACCATATTGGGACAGAAGACTAAAAGCTTACTCAAAGTTTGTTGGTTTTAAGGACTATCTTGAAGAAGGAGAAGGGGACTGCATAGTGAGGGAAGCTGTGTCCCTAGTCACTGCTTTTCAGGCCTGCGTTCTTTGTTGTCTGGATCTGAGCTGCTGCTTTCAGTCTTTTTGCATTGAGGTTCCAATTATTATTTAAATACTCATTTGGCGAATACGCAAAGTAACTGTAATGAGGATGGAGATTAAGCATAGTACACAATAAGTGGTATATTAATGTTTATTCATTAATTCATTCATGTTTGAGTCAGAGAGTCATACAGCATGGAAACAGATCCTTCGGTCCAACTCGTCCATGCTGACCTGGTATCCTAAACTGAACTAGACCCATTTGCCTGCTTTTGGCCCATATCCCTCTAAACCTTTCCACCTTGGCTCACGTCTACTACTGCTTCACCTTCAGCTGTTTTCTTGGCAGTTTTTCATCAGTACTAGTTTCGCATTTTCTTCCACTTCCAGCAGCAGGATGAGGAGGCAAGCCCTAGAGTCTGCCTTCACTGGAACTTGAATCAAAACTGTGCAGTTGGTGCTATTCTGTACCACACACCAGCCAGCTGAGCTGTGAACTCCATTATGTATGTGTTACTAATAAGGGCCCTGAACCTGTGCACCTCTCACCAAACACAGAATTGGTGCAGCGAAGCTGGTTAGAAATAAATTGGACGCAAGGACCGTGCATGTTGCCACAGCACTAATGAAAGCAGCACTTCTGATCACGTGCACTGAACTCTATGGGAGCTTTGTGTGGGGGGTAACCCAATCTCTGTGATAACTGTAGTGCCCTGTCATGCTGCTGTTGGTATTCCAAGGGGAAGAACTGACTTCCTTTAGTGTGAAGATGCTTTATATCCCTAGTGTTGGATTGAATGTTATTCAAGGAACTTCTGACTTTTTGTTCACTGGCTGTGTCATAATGGAAGCAAACTGTAGATTGGAGTGAAGCACACAAAATTGCCCCCATTGGCTTTCTTTGCAAAGCATAGCCTTTGCAATCACCAAGTTAACATAGTAACACCTCCGTCTGTACAATCCAGTATGGGTTACCAGTGAGTGCCGATCATACACTAATTGGGCCTAAACAGCCTGCTATCCCTCCAACAAAATACAGGATAGTGGAGAATTCCTAGCATGATCCATTGTACTCTTTGTCCAGAGGAAGAAGTGGAGCTCAATACAGAAGGCTATCAAAAACATCGATAAGGCAATGACAGAAAAAGGCCTTCTCATTGTTTAGAAGCACTGATGTTGAAGTGTGAATGATTGAGGAGGTGCATGATGATCCTGTATCAGGGGAGCCCAGCTTACTTCTCACTGCCATCAACTCAATGTAAATCCCCACAGTAAACAGCAGGAACCCCTATCCCTTTGGTTAATGCCAGTACCTAACAACCTGCCTGAACCATTTTGAAAAAAAAAATCGATTAGAATTTGTCGAGTCCACCTCCCTCTCCGTACTGCCAAAATTGCTACAGAAACGGTGAAGAAACTCGGCAGTTCTGTGGGATGAAAGCAGAGTTAACGTTTCGAGTCCAGTCAGAACTGTTAGCAGCTAGAAAAAAAAGTGGCATTTACGCTGAAGACGAAATTGCGGGGGAGGGGAGAGTGAGGTGAGCGGACAAGTGGAGATGGAGCCCAGAGGGAAATATAAAAGGTGTGGGTAAACAAGGAGATTATGGATAGCAGGCTAGGACCATCCTTCCATCATCACATTGGGCAGGGCTTAAAACAGTTTGAACTTTCCATTCCTCGCTCCATTTTTATCTTTGTTGCCAGCAGCAACAGTTGAGGTGTGAGGTTGTAGTTTGCTTTCTGACCCTTCCCTCAATACCATTCTCTGGGTGGATGGTTTAAAAAATCCCCACCTGAGTGGGGAAGGTATGAAGAGAGACATCCCCTATCCCAGTTCTGAGGAAAGGTCACTGGACCCGAAACGTTAACTCTGATTTCTCTTCACAGACGCTGCCAGACCTGCTGAGCTTTTCCAGCAACTTCTGTTTTTGTTCCTGATTTACAGTATCCACAGTTCTTTCGGTTTTTATTAAACCCTACCCTATATTGCGGCACGTTGTCCAACACAGCAAACTGAACAAATCATTTCAAAGAGGCAACATTTAAAAAAAAACACACACACACGAGGAAGGATTGCACAACAACTGTTTAAAACATGTTGTTGTTTGACCTAATCCTAACGAGGTAAATGAGTTACTGATGTTAAATCAGGAACAATGTTCATGGAGCAGTTATTTGCAGTAGCCGTGTTGGAGACTGCCTAACGTGTCCTTCAGTCCCGTTTATGGGTGAGCCGAGAATGAAATGTTCCAACAAAAACGAAATAGAAATTGCTGGAGGATCTCAGCAGAAGAAGGGTCACTGGACTCGAAATGTTAGCTCTGTTTTACTCACTCCAACTGGACTCGAAATGTTAACTCTGTTTTACTCACTCCAACAGGTGCTACCAGACCTGCTGAGTTTCTCCAGCATTTTCTGTTTTTGTTTCACATTTCCAGCGTCCACAGTTCTGTTTTATTTCATGAAATCTTCCAGCCTGCTGTGCAAAGTGGAAACAAGTCAAAACAGTTCCTCCGGAGCATTCCTCGCATTTTAAGCAGAGAATTTGACTTTGAGTTTAGTCAAAGACATTAATGTAGCTATTTGAATATATTCCCGATTATTATAAACAATTAAATAATTAATGCCCGGTTAGTTGTTTTATTTTCCTTGAAATAAAGTCCCCTATGAACGCAGCTTTAATTAAACATACTCCTGCTAACACGGGTCCTTTTATGAATGGTTACAGTGGAGTCACTGGGTTTACTGTTTTAAATATTAGAAAAAGGACGAATTCGGTTGTGATTTTTCTACAAGGCATTCTGCTTGTTTTTCTTATAGATTAGAAAAAGCAGAATGAGCACTCACGTGTGTTGGACGGGGCTGGGTGTCCACTTTGGAGGAGCTGAGAGCTGCAGTTGTGTCCCTCCAGTCACTGGGCCGCCTCGGGAAGGGTTCAGTGCTGGAGCTCAGCAGCGACTCCCACTGGCGGCCAGCCGTAGCGGCGTTCTCAGCCTGGCCAAGCCGGACAGAGAGGCAGCTGTCAGTGCTGGCTTCCTCCTCTTCCTCCTCCTGTCTCTCTGCGGAGAGCCAGCATTCGGCTAGCGCCCTGTCCAGTTCTTGCTCGATGCTGCTTCCTTCCTCGGCTGCAGATCGCAAGCTCTGCCCTTTGCGCTGCCTCTCATCCCTGCTCCCGGGGCGATGCTCTCTCTGCTGCCCTTTGCCCTCTTGCCCTGGCAGCTGACTGCCTCCTCCCTCTGTGCCCTCCCTGATGGGGTCCGAGGCTGCCACTGAAACCCTTCTCCATTTACTGCCGCCGCCACCCATCCTGTCCTCTTCCCTCAGCGTGGCACTTGTATTTCTGCACCAGCACAGAATTCCTCTCCGGCAGGTCACTCCCCACTTCGCTGGCTGCAAAGCCCCAGTACCCCTCCCTTGGATGTAACTTCTTAAATTGTTTTCTTCTTCCCGCTTGAGTGGATAAGCATTTGGACGCGGCAGCAAAGCGTCAGCCCCTGCTCACCGTGGGGATGATAATCCTCACCCTCCCCGGTTCGATGATAACATGTAATAAGCGCTGTTTGCTGGGTGTTTGGGCACTCCCATTGCCCAGCAGCTTTCGAAGAGGCGTGTGACCTCTGCACAGCTAGCAGTGAATTTAGGATCAAAGTCAGCGGTACAGATGAAGACGCCGACCACTTCATGTTGGATGGGATGGGAAACGCATGGATGGCTTTGACATTGTCATCTGTGCTTGACTCTGACTGCTGTAACTCTGCACCCGCAGCATGTCTGTTCTGCAAACGTGTGGATGTCCTTGTTATGGTGGGCCAGTTCAAAGAATCCCTACAGCCCATCAAGTCCACACAGACCTTCCAAACAGCATCCTATCCAGATCCACCCTGCACCTAATCCCTGTATCTACCATGGCCAATCTACCTAACCTGCACATCTTTGGACTGTGGGAGGAAACCAGAACACCTGGAGGAAAGCCACACAGACACAGGGAGATTGTGCATACTCCTCACAGACAGTCGCCAGAGGGTGGAATCAAACCCAGGACCCTAGTGCTGTGAGGCAGCAGTGCGAACCACTGAGCCACAGTGCTGCCCCTAAGTGCTTTAAAGGATAACTATTTGAACATGTTCTGCTTTGTCCCCTCCATGGATAATGACATAATCAAGCAGGCTAAATGACCTCAACGCACATGAAAAGACTAAAGAAATCATCTTCTGGAATGAACTAGGTGCCTAACTTAGTCAAAAAGCACTCTGTAGTATGAAAACAATGGTCATGTATAAGAAAAGCTGTAAGATATTGTCTTTGCTCTATTGGTGATAGCTGAACATTAGCTCTGGTGCATGCCAAGCTTTGTGCAGACTGTGAAATCTTGAAATGAAGCTGATCGATTTTGGATTGCAAGAAGTCACTATGTGATTTGAATAAAAACCTAACTGACTGCATTGAGGTTGTACATAGGTGAAATTTGCCTTTTTTTAATTGTGTTGTGCAATGAGTAGATTTGATAGCCACAGTGATGAGTAAATTCGCTCAATGATACCATCAACTTCATTTCTACTTCTGTGACACCTCAGCACAGACTGTAAATCGTGGCCATCTCTAATTTTGTGGTAACAGTTGACACTGATGTCTCAATGTGAGAAGCATGATAATATCCCTTAATCTCCCCAAAGTTTGGTAAATAAAGCAAGATTTAGTAAATAAGTAAATAAGTAAAAAAAAAAGTAAATAAAGCCTCTATCATCAATCACATTAATGTGTGCTCCAGTAGGGTCTTCAAGTGTAAAGCCAATCTATTGGAAAACATTTAGCCCTACAAGGTCTTTAACTATGTTGAATACAAACCTTTCTAGGCCGTGTTTTTCTAATGTACTGGAACAGTGAGTGTACCCAAAAGCAAAATATTCAAGTCTTCGTAAGCTTAAAGATTGCCTGTTGCAGAGCTGAGGAAAAAAATTGCACAAAATAACAACAGGTAGAGTTTCCTACTCAAAATAGATACTTTTTCACCAATATCAATTCTTCCAGTCTTGACTAAAGATTTTGTAAAATGACCTGGCACATTACCATTAATAATGTTGTACACATTCTCCAGAAGAGACTCCTCCAGGTGTCAAACCTGTAAAGTCTTCTTTGCAAAATTATTTCTCTTTAAAGTTACACTTTTTTTGCTGGATATGTTATGAACTGATGGCAACCTCTACAATTTAGGCACAGTTTTTAATGTGGCTGACCAGAAAGGGACATTTGTTGACAAGATTAATGAGGTCTCTTTGTTGGAAATCCTTGCATTTGAGCTGCTGAGCAAGCTGTGCCCGCAACCCTGAGCCTGAGGGTGCATTTCTATATGACCTCTTTGAATCAAATATGGTAGATTTTAAATGGATTGCCAAAGTTGTTGCTTTTTCCAAGGTTAAGATATCATCCTCCATTAGGAATTCCATGTGGAATTGAAGTCTTCTTAGTTAATTGGTCACAGGGCATGGGTGAGACCACACCTCAAATACTGTTCACAATTTTAATCTTATTTAAGGGAGGATGTAAATGTATTGGAGGTGGTTCGAAAGAGGATTAATGTCAGGAATAAATAGGTTGTCTCATGAGGAAAGATTGAACAAGCTAAGCCTGTTTCTATGGAAGTTTAGAAGAGGAAGGGGTAACTTGACTGAAGAATATTAAGATACTGAATGGTCTTGACAAAGTAGATGTGGAAAGGATGTTTCCTCTCATGCGTCAGTCCACAACTAGGGACTACTGTTTTAAAATTATTCCCACACTTTCAGGACTGAGATGAGAATTTTTTTCTTTCAGACGGCTGTGCAACTTTGGAATCTCTGCCTCAGAAAACCGTGGAAACAGGTTCATTAAATATTTTTGAGGCAGAGTTAGGTAAATTATTGTTAAAGGAATTATGGCTTATCAGGAGTAGTTGGGAATGTAGAATTCGAAACACAATCAGAAAGCTATGACCTTATTGAATGGTGGAGGAGGGTCCACTCTGGCTCCTATTTTGTACGTTCATAATTAATTCATTGGTTAGTGTGTCAAATTTCCATGTAGAAGCCAATTGCTGAAACCTTGTCATATTTTATTGAATGGTTTCACCATTTCCCTGGCTATGTTGCTATTCTATATTATTCAATCATCACATTCTTCTTTGGCTGGAAGTATTGTTCAAGGGTATGTACCACTGTATCAAATCAGATGTGTCTTCTTGGAGTTGTTCAAATATTTGCTTTTAATCTGCTCCAAGACAATGTATGAGTGTTGCCTTCTTACAGATCACTACTACATCTAACTATTCATCCATGCAAGGAGGTCTTGAACCCTGAAATCCATCAACCCCTTGACATATATGGATCTTCCATACAAGAAAGGAAAAATGCAGGAGTTGGCAGATTCAACCTTTTCTCCGTCATTCTTATTACTACTTTTTTGTACATTTTATATCTTGGAACTCTGCAGAAACTTTATTTAGAGGGCCTTATGCAATACTTTCAGAAGTCTACTCTTTGCTTCTAACTCTAGCTCTCAGCTTTTTCTGGTGTTTCCATAGTTTTCCACAACAGGTTTAAACAGTCACACTCAGTGAACATTAAAAGTAAACATGGTCTCACAATCAAATCCAGAACAATTTAACACCTCACTCCCCAATCCAGTCAATAATATATATCCATCCCTTTACCTCCCAAAATATAATTATCATGCCAGTTTCATCTGCAGATAATTATTAAGGAAGTGAGCCTGAAATTTAAGTTTTCTGACCCAAATGAATAATGGTTCTATATTTTCCTTATCTCAACATGCTAATTTCAGTCAAGAAACCAGACATACAATTAATTTATATTTAAAGATTTGAAATTCAGGTGAAATTTCTGAGACAAGTCTAATGATTGTAAAATTTCCATTTCTAATTGCTCTGGCAGTAATGAAAAAGACAAGTTCATTTTGTATCAGTTGGGCTACGGCTAGGTTTTAATGCTTAACTGTTCAGTTCAGATGAAATACCTTTACTTAAATGATATTTCTTAGTCAGACTGAACTCATGTAGAGAATTATGATTGTTAAAATACCTCTTGTGGCATTACTTACTTGTTGGTTGACCCTGATGACTTCAGCATAAATCAAATTAGCACAGCATATATCACCAAGAGTTGGTGAGGCAGAGCAAAATGAAGTAGTAGTGGACAAATAAAGAAACAAGGCATTGATCTAGAGGAGAAGTGAATGGCAGAATAATGAACAACTACCACCTGAAACCAAAAAAGAAGTGTTCAGACAGACATATGCAGAGAAAAAGGGAGAAAATGCAGGCTGAGATGATGGTTTGAAATTGTTGAATTTGATGTTAAGTCCAGAAAGTGGCTAAGTGACTAGTTAAATGATAAGTGCTTTACCTCAAGCTTGTTTTGAGCTTCACTGTAAGATTGCAGTAAGCTAAAAACAGAGATATCACGTGACAGCAAGTTGGAGAATTAAACTAGCAAGCCATTGAAAGCGTGGGGTTGTTCTTCTGAATTGAATGGAATTTTGTTTACTCTATTTTACTTTAAAAATACAAATTGAATGTTGAATATGATTTACTTTCACTCACTTTTATTATATTTAAATAACCTACAGTGATAAAGTCTAATTGCATCACATTTTGTTGATATTATTTTATCATAGAATCGTTATTTCACAGAAGGAAGCCATTTGGCCCTTTGTATCCATGCTAACTTTTTTCAAGAACATCTCTGTTAGTTCCACTGCCCTATCTTTTCTCAGTAACCCTGCACAATTCTTTCTTTTCAGATGCTTATTGAATTCCCTTTTAAATTTGCCTCCACCACACTTTGGGAATTCCAGATCCAGATCCACTCATTGTCTAAAAATGTTTTTCCTCATGTCACTTTTGGCTGTTTTGTCAATCGTATTAAATCTGTATCTTCAGGTTCTCAGTTCTTCCAGAGAAACAGCTTCTTTTTATACACTGTGCTCAGAGCCCTCATGATTTTGAACATACCCCCTCCCCCATCAACCTCCTTTTAATAATTCTTCTCTAATCTGTTCTCATCATTGAGGTCTCATTGGCGAAAATCTTTTGTGCGCACTCTGTAAACCCATCTAATCCTTCCTAAAGTACAATGCACAAAAAAAAGGCAGAATATTTTAGTGGAGGCCAAGCTGAAGTCTTATCATCAGAAATTCTTTGCCTTTGTACTCTATGCCTTAAGGTAGATTTTACAAATTCCTGTTCCAAATGAAGACATTGGGAATCAGAGAATCCCTACACTGTGGAAGCAGGCCATTCAGCCTATCAAAGCTACACCAACCCTCCAAAATGCATCCCTCCTAGACCCACCCCACCCCCAAGCTATCGCTGTTACACTGCATGTCCCATGGCTAATCCACCTAGCCCGCTCATATTCAGACCATATGAGGAAAGCAGAGAAGACTCCACACAGCCACTCAAGGGTGGAATTGAACTCAGGTCCCATGGATTGTGAGGCAGCAGGTCTAAT